GGGTATTAGCTTTGCACCATTGCCATCTACATCAAAACCAACGGAGACAAAATCAGAGAGAACCTGGGCTTGACGAACTTCCCCCGCCACCTCTTCATCTTCTCCATTTCGTTGCCCTGGATTTAGGTCCTCGGTAAAATTTGATGTTTCGTGTATGAAATTTCACTTTGTGGAATTAATTATCAAGCAGCATCTTCAATCATCGATTCGAGATTATAAGGGATTATAATATTTGCCGACTTGTCACTGCAAAACAAAATTCATTAAATCAATCAGCATCATTATTTACTATTAACATTAATTTCAGATATTTGGTTGCCGGTCTTTTAAATTGAATTTGTTGGATAATTGGTGCTGTAATTTATGTTTAGTTTGCGTCTCCGGGGCTTTTGGTTTAACTTGTCTGCCTCATTTCGCTGGTAGTCGTTTCGTAAAATCAATTTATCCGAGACTAAGATACAGATGTCAAAGCGAAGCTCTAGGATAGTGGCGATGTGGTCAGGTTAGAGTGGTGTACAGAAGCGTTTGTTGTCATAAGCCAGAATCTTAGGTTGATACAAATAGGATTCCCCTGCCTTTAACCAATGGATCTTTCAAGAGGTAAGCACGTCTCCCAAACTATTTGCCCGCTCCTATTCACAAGTTAATCAATACTGCAATACGTGACTGTACATCAGACTGCGTTTATAACCCAGAGTTAATGTATGAGAAATAAATTGAATTCAAAGGAAAACTTGGAAATCCACAGGAAAATGCGAATGGCAGGGATAAAATCGTTAGGACTTTGTTATTCGACGGAGGATTGCTTATGCAAATCCTCAGAAGTCTTAGAGTTTTTAAAAAAAAAGGTAAAGTTGTAAATCCTTTCGTTCTCGGGAAATTTCACATTTCGTGCGGCCTGTTTTCGCATTTGTTGAAAATTGAATTACCGTGTCCCTCTTGGAGAAAAAAATATTGTGACGCTTGGGTAGAGAAAAAACTGGATTCACCGACTTGAAACCAACTTCGGGTTTATCCTCAGTGGATACGAAAATGTGGAAATTCTTTCTTTTTTCCGAAGCGAGCGGACTGTTTTCGATGCAAATTTTCTGTGGCAAATAAGAGAAATCCGGTCCAACGGGGGAGAATGAGTTTCTTTTTTTTTTCAATTTTATTTTTGAGAGGGAAGATTGCAGGGAAGCTATTTGCGTCTCCCTGTCCTGCCTATTCGGTGATTGTGAAAGTTGGAGGTTCAGGAAGGGATAGTCGCTGTTCGCGTGGAAATACCCGCGAGTTGCTGTGCAATTTCACGCTTTCAGCGTGCTCATTCGCTTCATCGGACACCCCTGGAAGAGTTACCGCTGGAATAAGTCCGCGCAAGGGATTGTTTTTTAATTTACTCGGTTGTTAATGGGGATTATATTCACCCAGGGGGATGTTATTCCATTTGTTTTCCGTTGAAATGGCTGATTCTTCGAGTGGAAAATTATCCCCGGTCCTGAGTCAGGTGCGAATATAGAAGACTCGCATCATCTTCCAGGATGATCAGTCTCTCGAGTGATGAAAAACTCAATCATCCTCTCCAAAAAAAAATAAAAATAAAAATAAAATTGTACCAACGCACAGTCAATCGGAAAAACTATTCCAGCATCTGCAGGGCCATTTTTCAACGGTTAAAATTCACTTTGAAATGCTCACAGTCACCGAAGAGTTGGTCTTACCAATTTTCAACTGCCACCGACATACGATCACGTACTCAGCACTCAACGTACCACGAAAACTTTTTCGCGATCGGTTGACTTTTCCATCCAGGGAGTTGTACAGTTGAAAAGGGCACCCCCTGCGATTCTGGAATGGATAGGAAGGCTGACCACTGGTGGTTGAAATGCAGTTAATCGATGGAAATTGGTGACGGCGCTGTCGACGGACAAAGGAGCCCATAGATGCATTGTACAGAGTCTGTAAAAGAGAAGGCAATTACGGCAGCTGTGACGTTGCGTCATGTAAAACGAGCTCAAGTTTCCAAGGATGTATGGAGTTTGTATGTCTCGTGTATAGCACCATTCACTAGAGGTTGGATGACCTGGTGTGAAGATGAGTCACGTGAAGGTTTGCCAGGAAAAGTTTTCCCTTGTTTTGCACTGGTGACACTTCGGTCATCGCTCCCCCAAAACGAGCATGTTATGTTACGTAATGCGCTATGTTGAACCGTTGAAATGTCTCGTTCTGAGTGACGAAAGGGTTGGGCATTCATGAGTGTAGCAATAAGCCAAAAGACATCTCCAATCTCGTGGAGAACACCTACCACATGAGTACTAGTCCCTGGCTGCCAAGTGTTGGACGTTGCCAAATTATATTGCTGTGGAAAAAGACTGGTCTCTCAGTTATTTCCCATAAATAATTGCTCCTTGTTCGAGACAATTGGTAAAATGATGGGCAATAGACAAAGCAAATAGCAGCTCTTGGAGTTGAACTGATGGTACTTGATGTTTAAATGTTTGAAAAGGTCAAATCAATATTGCTCGGTGCAGTGAATCATTGATCGGCTACGTGCAATCAAGGAAAATCAAGGAATACGTTTATCTCTCATTATCATTGCACCTGTGAAGATTTGGCTCAAGGTCACTGATACCTAATACGTATCATCAGGACTATCAGCCGGTGAAATCGGTATTACGTGCTGGCTTCGTTACACCCGCTGCTGATACTATACCCAGACCACGGCTTCAAGAGCATCTATATACATCAACACACCACGTGTGCTGTACGCGCAAATCACGTACCTAATCTAGCAAACTGACACGGGAAAGTGGAAACGAATCGAGGCTATTTGAAATCCAGGCGCAGTGTGATCGAGATCGCACATTTGCTCGCGATATTCGGGTGGGTTCGAGAAGGCTTTCACAATGAGGAAGATTGGAGGAGGTAGAAAAACTTTAATCAAGAAACTGGAAATATTACTTTGCGGGGATCGATGGGGATACGATCATTCTTCCCTGGGGCTATCCATTTGGTGGAGTTGATTGGCTTGATGAGGATTTTGATGATAATGGAAGAGCGATTTGGCTGCTCTAGTCTGGATTTATTCAGAACAATTTTTAGTGGATGAATATTTGACGAGACAATTAAACCAGATGATCATTATCACGTAATTTCACTGATGTTTTCATGAAGTGATAAATTAATCATTGACATCTCTGTGAAATATATTCGAGTTATGGTGGTGTGTTGACAGCTTCATGTCTCTATGATCCTTTCTTCAGAAATATCTAGCTCGGCTCTGGGCGAATCTTCTTTCAAAACCGTCAAAAGTCTTGTATAAATATTAAAATCCCCCGAATACATCACAAGTTATTCTCGCATATTCCGTCCCTCCTTTCTCCTCCGTTTCACACCGAAAATATTCATGCATATTTGACCATTTTCCCTTGTAATAGAAGGGAGAAAAGGGAGGTCTAAAATGAAAACTGATTTGCCTCGTAACGCCGTTTTATTTCATCCCCTGTGTATTCTCCGAGGATCACACCAACCTGCTTCACACCTCTCACTCTGTCCGTGGAAGCCTTCGAGTATGAGAGGTAAAGCATATTTTCTATTCTATTTTTCATACATCCTCATTCTCATGAGAATTGGTGACCGACGTGGGATAAATTTTTCCTCATCAATTACCGGGAAGCAGTGACTCCCTGAAGCAAGCGATTGGAAATAATCGTAACTGTTCAGCAAAGCCGCACTCAACAAAATGACGTGCTCAGAATAAACTGGAATAAATGAAGATTGGCGTTGAAAAAAATCTCCATGGAATTTTTAGTGGAAACGAAAATCATATCTGAGTAATGACTTTATGGGAGAATAGATGGCACCGTTTAAACGGTAATGACAGCGTTTCGATTTCTCAGGAGAGAAACGAGATAAAAAAAAGGTGAAAGCCTGTTGGTATTACAGGACGAACAGGCGGATGTAGAGGAATGACTCCACCACATAATGGAAACGATACTGAAAATTCTCGTCCTCTCCTTTGGCATTATTCTGGATGATCTGACAGATTCCGATCACGTATGTCCCGTTGTGTCGATCCGCCGCAAACGAGGCAGGCACCCCCGAAAAAAAATCCAGTCCACATGTACGTTTTCACCCACATGTACCCTGAGCTCATCGATTTTGAACTGTCACACATACAGCCACAGCTGGAAAATAAAAATGATCGCAAGCAAGAAGACACGGTGAAAAAAAAAAAAGAAACCGAGAATCTTAAGGATGAGAATCTTCAACAAGCTGTCGTCACGGATTCCTTCCCATAAAAACAGAATGGTAGGACGTTTTATCTCGAGAAATACTCCGCGCAATTTCCTACGAGATATTTTCAGTGCGCCTTCTCTATCCTCTCTCGCGGAAGGGCCATTATTATTTCCGCAGGTATTATTCACGATGCGCATCTGCAGCAAAGCCTCCACGCTATTTCTATGCCTGCTTCTTTCCCCCATCGATTATCGAATTCAACGACTCAACATGACGACGACCCCTTTCTACGCTCTCTTTTCTGGTTTTATACCTCAACCAATTCCCCGAATATGTTGGAATTATTTCTATTTTCATTCTGACTACTGATTCTCAAACAAAATCACGAATGCCAATTGATGAAAGCTGACTTGTTGTTCTGGTGATGTTCATCGCACGATAACTTCCGGCTGTTCCTCCCGCAGATGTTATAACACGAGTGATAAGAACTCGTCGTCGTTATCGCTGGATTCACTCATCTTCAGTACGTATCAGGTACGTGGGAAGGCGGTGACTATGACGCTGGTGATGGCGGAAAGGACACGTGAGATGTACTGAATAGTTGTCTCACATGGCGCATGCGAACCGACTCTTGTCAGTGCACCACGGCTGGTACTACTGTGAGATACGGGCCACTGAGTGGGAGAAATTTGGAATAAAGGCGCGTGGGCATGAGAATCTACCCCCTGAATGCTACCCTCCGTTGTACGCCAGTCCGCATCGAGATTCCGGAGGGAAGTGTCGTTGTTCGTTCGTGGTGTTACAAGTTCTTAGATGGATGTCGCCGATTCACTATATTGTTGTGGTACTTCACGTCGTTACGCTCGTCCTATTCTTCGTCGAAGGTTAGTGTATAATCAGTGTTACTGTGATTCCTGGAAATTATCACGATTTATCCATCATTTTTTGTCATTCCAACCAGTGAAAACAGCGGCCAATGCTTGTTACATACTTGTCGTTTTTTATGAATGCTAAGGATTGCCTCCATACGAAATCATTTTTTTTCCATCGATTGGATGAGTAATGACGGTCGAAAACGAGTCTTGAATTGTCTGTTTTATGGGTCTAAAAATATGAAAAATACAGCGAGCTTGTTAAGAGTTTCTGGTCAAAGTATTCGGTAAGAGACGAATTTCGGTATCAGCGGGATTGTGAATAAAGAAAATATCAGTGACATAATCAGATAATTAAGAATATCCGTTGGATGGATGTTAGAATAAATTGAATTCTCGATCGAATCCGAGAAGACTCCAGTAATTAGTCATTGATGGTTTCTAATGAATTCTGCTGTAACTCCTTCCGACTGATTCGGCACTTGAAAATTGTCCAGTTTACAATCCGAGTAATACCTGAAAGCTTCTGCCGATTATCACCCAATCGATCTTCCAGAAGAAACTTGTGATCCTGGCGGATGATCCCGGGCTTGTCCCTCCATCCCCATCCGGTCCACAACTGTATTCGATTATTCATTGATATCTCGATCCATTATTTATAGTTTCGTCGAAGCGGGCTTTAGAATTTGAAACAGAGGAATCAATAGAGTTTTTTCTCTTCCAAACAAACCCTTTTGTTTAAATCATTCGGATGGACCTGGTATTCTCAGTGAGTTTGGAATTCAGGGAGACAGAAAAGATCTCGATTTACAAACGGAGTCTGTTGTATTGAAATGCGAGTTGTTTCGATTGGTACGTGTTGGTGGGGATTTGTTTAGCCATTGGATGTGTGAGGCAGGTTAAATGAACTCGGACTATCGATTTTGAATTATTCCAACTGTCATACAAGATTAATAATTCCAGCGTATCCATTCATTAATACGATTAGCTGATCAACGGATGAATCGGGTTATTCAGCGACGTAATATGACCAAAAATTGGGAGGGACCATTGAGTGAGCAGGGAGTGGTTAGAGGTAAATGACAATCATCTTCATCGAGGGGTTGATATTGTGAAGGGAATGTGTCAGTGGAGTGATCGACTCGTTGGAGGTTGTCCTCTTTAATCATCGCTCCAATAAACTACTGGATGATCGCTGTCTCATCGCAACCAATTTTTCTATTCCAATGAGATATTAATTTCAGGTACCCAACACCTTAAACACTTTAACCAAAATTATTCCCCATTCACTTTCGACTCCCGTACGTACTTACCATTAATAGTTCACAAGTAGTTTACTCCGCAAACGAGAAATATTGAGCGCAAATAAAGGCTGAAAATATCCGCAGCAAATAATAGCAAATAATACCAGTAAAGACGACGTGATATTTACCGGTGCTATTAGACACCGGTAAATTGAATTTCTTTTGTTTATCCAAGTCGATACATTTCCTCAGCCAATAGTCTTAATCGACACTGCTGATGATATAATCGCACTGGATTCAGTTTTATTCCTCGACCCAGGGGGGAGTAACAAAGTATGTGCCTTCGGATTATCTGGAAAGTCCAAAGCAACAATCTGAAACGGAAGAAAAAAAAAAATAGTGTAAAAAACCTGACGAATTCGCTCTCTGTCATTGTCAAAGGTACAAGCGTCCATCTGATTATGCAAATGGCTGACTGTGGGCAAGGCTTTCCGACTCGATTCCTCGGTCTCTGACGTATACAAACGTGGACAAACGGCTCACGACAGACCATCCACCAGCACAATTGAACCCAGAAGTATTGAACTTTGCGTTCGGTGGAGGAGCTAATTCATGGCGCTGGGGATTAAGGGAATAAAATGTACGGATAGCTGCAGAAGGAAAACCGGTAAATAGCTATACCCGGGGGTTTGGGGGTGGTTTTCGGACGCTTATGGACCCAAGTGGTAACTCTACCGTCTTATTTCTCTGTTTTCTCTCTTTTTTTTTTTCTCTGCCTCGGTGTATCCCGGTGGATAAAATATCACGATGAATCTAGAGTAACACGAAAATAAAGAAACGTTGGAGAAACCCGAGGGGTTTGAGCCACTACTCTTTATTTTCTACTTGACAAAAACAGCAAGTCTAATAAAACTCTTGGGGCATCGCTGGAGATGGCCAACACTGAAATAACCCATTGACCACTCTCTTGGCGATTTGTTACGAAAGATTACGTCAGCTATAAATGTAGCTACCGCCACTATCACTCCGACCAATGTGAATTCACGTCGAGTATATGTTACAAACTTTCGATATAATACGTCAGACGGTCGTGTAAATCTTGGTGAAGCCATTGGAGTTTCTCTCGTGACTGGGATTTCAGGACCAGGTCCAGATTTCGAGAGACTAGTTATAAAATAAAGTCATAAATTACTAACTTAAAAATTAAAATTATTAACATTACCAGATCAGCAGAAAATAATTTTCATGATTACCAGGGGGCAGGTGTTTTCCAATCAGGGTGTAATCGCCATCTGCTCAGTTGAACTTGATGTAATTTTTGGAGGGACTCTGTGGCAGCTTAAAGACCGCCCAAAACTGCAATCCCGCTGTTTCAGTATTCCTGCTCTCCCCTGGGATCAAACAGATTCATTTACTTGGATTTACTCCCATTACCACCGGCGCAAGTCCTTCACCACGACATCAGTACCATAGGTTATTCCCACAATACCTCTTCAGGGACTAGGTTATAATGATCGAGTGATTTCTGAAATCCCAGAATAATTAGTCCGCCTAGCTTCCCAGTCTCGGTTAATGAAACTGAGATTCCTTTGACGGTCCTCCATTGTCTCCACCTCTTCCTTCATCACTTAAAGTCCAGGGTACACCCCTGAATCTCCAGAAGCATACCCCATTATTATCACACCGAATTTCAATCCAATTGACTGAAAGAGTTATAACCCTGAGGATAACAGTTGTTATGATGAGGATAGGAGCAGGTGAAGCTATTCAAGCCGGAGGCCATCCAAAAGGGGGCAAGGAGCTCCATAATACCACCATATCGAGTTTATGCTAATGCTCAATAGACCTCTGGGAAAGGAAATAGCGTTTCGGTAATTTGGTATTCGGTACGGCATTGGATCGATGTCATTGTTGAAGGAATTTCGTCTATATCTGCGCCAAACTCCCGGATTTGTTGAATTTAGTCGATTGTTTCGGGCGACGTCAAGCTCCCAGTTGTACTTCCTCCTGTTTAATTTTTAATTTTCTCTCCCTGGGAAAAAAAAATAATAAAAACCGGTTGGATTATGCAGAATGTCATGTCGTCGCGGCCTGACCAAACTCGACCCACTCCACTTGGAGTGAAAACCGCGAAAGGACGTGAACTCCCTCTCACCGCTGAAACATAACCTCCTCGCATCCTCCCACCTCCTGGCACTACCCCATCGTACCATCAACCCTTGCTCATACCGTGTTCGCTGTGCCAGATTGTGCTAATTAATGCTAATTGTACGTACTAATAAATAACAGCATGAATAAACATATTTAGCATACAGCAGGGACACTCATGTGTAACTGTACCGTCATGTTGCTTGCAATATTACGTGGATGTATTGGTTGTCTATTTCGGGATGGCATTTGGTGTTGCGTGACGCACTCCGTATTAAATACCGCGCCTGAAATTCAAATATTCATTGATACCCGATGCAATCAGAATTCGTAACAAGAAAATATTTTTCCATTTTTTTTTCCATCTTTTCGTTCTAATCCTGAGAAACCATTTGAGAAAAACTTCTAGTTCAGATTTAATTCCTGCGCCGGCCAACGACGCGTTTTCCAAAATGGCAGATTTTTTTCTAATCGTCAGTTAAAAATAATTACTCTAGCAATAATTACTCTCGACTCCCTGACTGCAATCGATCCCAATATCCTAAAAAGGACTTACTCAAGATGAATGGATAATGCAGAGAATGTCTAGTCGAGTAATAGAATAAGCATGTATCGGCTCTTAAAATAATTCATCATGAATCGAATTGATGAACCCGTCAGTATGTCTTTTCTGATTGTTCGATCGATACCGGCGCACCTATCGCCAATCCCCCAAAAAATCCAATTACAAGTTATTAATAAACTATAAAATTGGTAATTGTTTGTGGATGAATTTTGAATTTTCATTGCTCCCACCCGAATATTCAGCCTTTAGGCGCACTTTCATTACTGGACATTGTATTACTAGCGTTAACCAAACCCAACACGTTTACCAAAGGTCTAAACCAGGCCAGACGGCGCGACCAGCGAATATTCCCACCCTTTCACGTGTCGCTTGGTTTTCGCCTCGAAAACGTGGAATTTTAATTCAGCAAAAACCATTTGGCTCGGCTGTGGTAGAGCCAACGCAATGCGCCAGTAAACTCTGCAATTATTATTGTTATTATGGATAATTATATATTTTTTTTTTCTCCCGGAATTTATGAGCAATGGTTTGTGGGTAATTGTCATTTGGTGTGTTTATTGCCGGGTGCATTATGATTATGGGGGTGTTAAATTGGGGGGTGTGAGGATTGAGCAATTTCAGGGGTAAATTCAGAATCTGATCTGATATTCTAGGCATGAGTTCGTTTCTGAAAAAAAGAGAGCAGCTCTGTTCTCTGTTTCTACACAAATGTATCGCAGCGGATATTCCTGAAAGGTCATAATACCCACAAACTTTTAGCTTTTCGTGTGCTTTAATAGTCGCATTTGCTCTTCTCGTTGAAAACATTCTGATGTCGTCCAACTTTCGTTCAATGTTCCCCGGGCATTCATATTTCGTATTGACGGTGAACTCGAAAAATTAATTGGATTAATTTACTCGGCGAGTGGATAACAGTAAAATTCCATCCAATTATAACGACTTCATTCAGAATCGTGAAATTATCAATGAAAAACAGAGCAACAAATTCAGGAGCGGTGAATTTACACCGTAAAATCACCAAAAACAATTTTAAACCCGTACATCTCCATAATCCG